TTTTTTTTTTCCTTTTCATACCACACCCCCCCTGCAATGGCTCTGCACCTCCCTAGGGGGCGGGCCCCACACTTTGGGAACCTCTGTAGTAGGTGAAGTGAGGTCCCTGCCTCCACCTGATTATGTAATTTACCAGGAGATGCTTTTATATAAACTATAACTTCTATAATTGCAGTGTTTGTCTTTAGAGCTGGGAGCAGAATCGCTGATGATTTCTTACCAGCAGTTATTACTGTAGGGTCTACCTTACACTATAACACGCCTTGAGGAGACTGTTGCTAAATAAAATTGAACTGGTTTTTATTTAGAAACAGGCAGAGCTCTTCTTGGCTTCATGTCTCTAATTATGTGGCACACAACCTCGCGCTAAATCACCCAAACACAGCACACATCCTGCCAGTGATTCAGTTCCTTACAAAACACTGAATAAGGTGCTGAAGCAGTGACGAAGCTTCGGACGTCATCGATCACGTGACTCTGTTCAGCCCCCGCCTCGGCCCAGTGTTTCTGAAGCTGTGTGACTGACTCGTGCCGGAGCTTCAGCTTCAAACGAGCCGGCACAGGTCGCAGCGAGGCTTTGAGACAATCTGACTCATCTGCACAGGGACACCTAAACACCAAAGTCAAACAGGACGAGAACTTTCCTCCAGATACTCACAGCACACCACAGCTCACATCGTTTTTATCCAATGGATGCATTTAATTATTTTTTTTTTTTACATCATATAGCTGCAGCCTCACATGATCAGTGACTACAACAGCCTCCACCATCAGGTCTCCGTGTGTCAGGAACCACAGGCTGCATATTATAGTATCACACTGTTGTACATCGGCTGTTGACAATTAAACACATGAATCCACGAGCGACGGGAACACAGCAAATGAACTTCCAAAAGCAAAAAACCCAAAAACTACAAAAAAAAGAAGAAAAACAGAGAAACCAGAAATATTAGAAAACTATATGATTGAATGTGCTTGATGTAAATTCTGCATTACAAATAGTTTTACTTCACATAAATATAGACTGATTTTGCGTCCAGTTGATGTCACTGTACTCAAATCGACACGTATCAAAAGTGTTCGGGGGCGGAGCTCGAAGAAGGAAAGAAGCCTCCGCTTCCTCCTTAAGACCTCGACCACAACAAAACATGAAAAAATAAAGTGGAAATATTCAAAGTTCAAAATGAAACTGTCAAAACTGCATATCAAGCAGAAAAAATATTGTATATAACCTATTCCCACAGCCACTTAAATATCGTCTTTGCACTTACATGTATATATAATATACAAAACCCTCCAGGTCGCTCAGGAAATCCCATCACACCAGGCAGAAATAATTTAAGACAGATAACTGGCAAACCAGACAACTGAACAATCTCACGGGAAAGAGTTTTGCACACAGCATCGTGTCACAGACATTACCTGCCACGTCCTGATAACTTGCGGATCAACTGAAAGAACGTTTGAAATTAGCAGCAATGAAAAGCGAACACTGTCACAGACTAACTCAGGCCGCTGCTCGATGCAGGAAGCTGCTTTCAGTGAGAGGTGAAGGAAAAAAGCTCTGACTCTTCTGTTTCGAGCTCAGCAGACACAGCAGCTCTCCGTTCTTCAAGTCCTTTAGAAGTAAAAGGTGGATGTGCCGCTGCTCCAGACGGCAGCGCTGGGACATACAGTAGTGTTGTTCTACAGGTGACCCTGATCTGAACATTTCGGATCCGGATTTCCTTTCAGATTTCCACATCAATGGAAAAATGAAGCAATGCTCGCTGTTCTTTTCTCTCCCTTTTCACTCTTCTTTCTGGAGACTGAAGAGGTAGTTTCACATTCACAAAGGGATATGGATGATGGCTTGGAGACATAAATATTAACATCATTTTGAATGATTAAAAAAACACCACTGAAAGCTTAACGTTGTGATTTTGCACTAAATTTGAAAACAAGGTTTCAAAACCTTTTGACTTGAGTCGGCTTTCGATGGCAGAGACATTTTATCAACGGTACGGAAACGGGTAAAGCTCAGCTCTCTATTTAGGACTCCAGAGGAGCCAAACGCTTGATCTCTATTTTCACAAATCTCAGGCATAGTACACGTGAAGATCCTGCACAGCAGAGAAGAGACGGGTCTGCTGCAGAGACGTTCCAAGTCCAACAAGACCGAACTAAGGAAGTGCAGTGGGATTAAAGCTGGAAACCCTCCATGGGTCCTTCCTGTTGCTGGAAGACAAACTGGCCTTGATTCTGATCCACCTGTGGAGCCAGGCTGGCATCCTCTTCCTCCACACCGAAGTAGTGTTCAATCAGGTCAAAGGCCTTCTGGTAGATCTCCTGGTTCTCGTGGCTCTGTAAAAACTCAATCTTGTCCAATCCTGAAAGAATGGAAGCAAACGCACAAATCTTCACACGACAGAAGTTTCAACACTGAGTGACAAAAAGCTCCTGTGAATATAGTTACAGCAGGCATTTCTAATCAAAGTGCTGCTGTTTCCATCCCTGTCTGTGTGCCAAAGTACGGCAGGGCCAGATACTGAAACAGAGTTCCTCTCCTGCATCCAGCAGCGTGTGTGTGTGTGTGTGTGTGTGTGTGTGTGTGTGTGTGTGTGTGTGTGTG